TTTTTTTTTTTTGAAATGTCTTTCTATCTCTCATGGAGGTAAATTGATATGATTTAAGCTAATTCATGCGGTACTAGAAGCTCCATTTTTTTGTATGGATCTTTATGAAAAAAAATCCTGACATGATATTTTAAATACACTTTTATGTTTTGTTCAAAAATTTATGTTTTCAAGGTTGTAAATGAGAATAAATTCTATCAATTTCATCATTGAAACATAATTTTTTAATCATTATTCTTCCGAAGAATCAATTTAATTTCGAAGAGAGAGAATTAATTTCTTTAATGGCCAAACTTAATTGAAAGATGAAGTTCTGAGGGTGGGGGTTGGAGGAGGGATTGGGGAAGAAGATAAATTTTTAAAAGTTTTATGATTGTGGTGGAAGAATTAATTATTTTATGTGATAAATATATTAAAAACCCACTTATGTAATTTTATTTAAGGTTATTTAAGTAAATGAAAAAAAAATGTGATGTAATTTTTGTAGGGGTAATATAATTACCAAAAATTAATATATTATACTTATACGTAACTTCCCTTATTGGGTAATGAATTTCATTTTATGAATCTTGTTTCTACCAGGATCATGCTTCCTCCACTGAGCAGTAGGATACATTCTTTGCAAGAGAGAGAAAATTGAGCACTGCTGTTCTCGTCTATTTTCCTTCATAATTACGGAACAATATCATGTCGAAGTTTTTAAAAGAGATTTTACTTCCTATATTAATGCACGAGGCTGGGATATCTGATGAAGAAAGCATGTTGATCGATAAACCTACTATGATCATTCCCCGAGATTAATTGAACCCCTGGATAGAAAAGTTGCAGATTAATAAAGAAAACAATTATGAGCAGGTCAAGAATGATAATGAAGAAGAAGATACGTATTGGGAAGATTGGAATAGAGAGAGAGAAAAAGATGCGTTGTCCAAGGAATTGAAAGTAAATTCTATCAAGAAAATCATTGAGAATAAATACGAAGCAGCCCTTGAAGAAATTAGGAGAAAAACTTCTCGAGTCTCAAGAAACCTGTTGTTGAAGCCCCATTGGAGAGCGACTCAACAATTATGTCCTCTAAATTCACAGAGAGAAAAAGAAAGAGCAAATCATGCAAGAAGAAGTTGAAAGTAATGGCAGAAGTGAAGAAGTATCTTCATCAAGAAATAACAAGAAAAGCCACATTAATCTGAGTGAAGAGCCAGCTCCTCCAATGTCCATACAATTCAAAAACGCAATTCTTACCCTAGCACACTGTAGTGTTGAATATTGTTGTTCAAAATCAATAAAAGAATGTGGAATGAAAAATGGAACTGGAGGCCGAAATATTGGCCAAGGTGGCTTGCGGTCGCATGGTGATTTGCAGGGCCTAATTAAATGATCTATATGGCCACATAGGTTTGTTCTATGCAGTGGCATAGAACATTTTTCTAGCCGTCAAAGGCCATTTTTGTTTGAATATCTGATGGCCTTTCAAGGGTTTTGGCACCACTTCTGATTGATGGCTATATATAGGTGGTTGATGATCAACGAAAAACATATAGAAACATATAGCAACACTGGAGATTAATTCCTCATTCCAAAAGGTATTAAAATTCATTTTTCTCTGCATATTCATATTCAAATCCTAATTTTGTGTTCTCAAGTTTTGAAGGATTTCACTAGTTTTTAAGTGTTAAATTCTTTCAAGACTTGATAAATCCTGCAAACCATTCGTCAAAAATCCCTTTAAGCATCAAATTCAATCCAAGAGGGGGTAAATATCGTTTGAGGACAAGGATTACGTGTATAAGCCATACTTTTCTATTTCTTCATATTGTTGTACGTTTCTTCTCCATGCCCTAGTGTTGTAAACCATATTTCCAACATGTAGAACTGTCTCAGAAGAAAATTTTGTCATACAGAAGCAATTGTTCCCTACTGATATGGCCAAGGATCAAAATCGGTTCACCATTCCAGTGAATCAGATTAGACAGAATTTCCTGAGCAATGAAGAGGAAATATCTGTCAAAGTACTCGAGCAAGGGACGTAAAATGGCTACGAAATAGATGATAATTGAGTCATTGCTCGGAGAAGGAACTGTGAAGTTGAGAAGGTGGGACTTGAAGAAATATTCAGGACGTTCAAGCTTGTCATTCGCGTTTAATAAAAATTAGGGGACTCGATTGAGGTTGGAAATGTCTTGCAACTTTGGGCCGTTCGAGTTGATGGAGAATTGCTGTTTGTGCTTGTCAAGCTTGCCTCAAGAGGATAGTGGCCATGTTTTTGTAGTATTATGTGTTTCAGTTCTCGTTAAACACTGCATAGGTTTTCGCATAATGGTATTTTTTTAGACTAATTACATTATCAAATTAAGTTGAAAGCAGTGTTTCTTATTATATCTTGAATTTATAATATTAAGTACTTCACATGTACATATATAGTGGTGTGTGTTTCCTCCATAAGAGTTGATAAAGGTGACTACTGCATTGGATGCAATCATGCAATATACAAACTATTTATTGCAAGGATCTGAGTTATTAGCTTAAAATAATTGAATGACTAAATGATTAAATAAAGTTTAAGATTTCAAATTGTGGTGTAGATTCAAGGAATATTACAGTTTATAAATAAATAACTCGATGGTGAAAAATCTTGAAAGATGTTCATCAAATTACCAATCCTGTAAATAAATATCTCACGAGGCTGTAATCAGTGGCGGATTCAGGAAAAAATTCAACACGGGCTAATACATATAAAAAAATATATATTGCACATAAAAAAATAAAAAATAAAAAAAAATTTACTTAAAATTTTTTTTTTTAATGGACATTTGGGCCGAAGGGACGGGCTGTAGCAGGCCCAGCCCGTCCCTGGATCCGCCTATGGCTGTAATTACATTCTGTGCAAGAATTCTATTTTCTTTAATAGAGAAGAAGATAGATATGTGGAAGCCAACAGAGAACTAGAGAAGGACGTGGAAGGGGTGAGCTTGAGCAAAACTTGCAGAATAATAAGAATAATTGTGTGCGGGTTGAAGATGAAGAAGAAAAAGATACTTATAGGGAAGATTGGTGTAGAGAGACGGCAAACTTTCCATGCAACGACGATTCTCAAAATAAAAAAATAAAAAATAAAAAATAAATCTCTAATAGGAAAACCATTGAGAATAAAGATGATGC